GATGCACATGTACAAAAGTTATGTGATATTCGTTTAGGAATATATTTATCAGTCATTTTCTAGTTCCATTACTCAGAATGAAACCAGATAGGTCCGAAAACGTCATGTCCAGCATGTACCAGAAGGCAAACAAGAAACTAGGAAGATAAAAACAAACTATTCGAATGAGAGTTGCTCGCAGGCAACCGAAGGTGAACTAGAGACGAATTACATCGCGATCTGCAGCTTCGGTTTCACTGAGCCCGTGGACATCATCTTCTTGACCCTTTTCATCGGCGCCGCCCCGGGTGATGGAGACCACACCCCCATCTCCAGAACTGAGATTGGGCTGATGATGTTGTGCTTCCCTGTCTTCTTCTCGCTGGTAGGGGACGCCGGTCCTTCATCGTCTGACAGACTGAGACCCCCCAAGCAAGCTTGCGTGTCCAGAGAGGTTATCCACTTTTTATCCTCAGAGGCTGTTTGAGGTAATGCAGCAGGTGATTCAAAAAGGCTCCCAGCTCTCTTTGTTGCTGGGCAGAAGTATCATCCATGATCTTAGCGCCTGCAGGATGCTCCACCCTATCTGTTTGAAATCAATCCAAGGAAGATAGTCAAAAATCATGTTGTTTCTAAATTTCCAGATGCATCAGAGAACCGCAGCATTAACCATGTTCAAAACTAGATGTTTCTTGTTAGAAACCCATAGTTTCGCTACTGATTCATAAGAGAGGGTGTCTGGTTTCTTAAAGAAACTGTGCATGATGTTCCAGATAGCAGTGGGCACCACACAATCAAAGAAAATATGAGTGATGCTTTCATCACAGGAGCAGAAAAGACATTCTTTACCTCTATCTATATGTCTTTTAAGCAGATTATCCTTAGTCATAAGCTTATTATATCCCAGGAGCCACAGAAAAATGTTAATCCTGGTGGGAACAGATAATTTCCAAACAGCAGGAATGAAGACTGGCTGCACCCCGCAGAAATTAATGATTGAATAAAGAGAGCTAGTCGAGTAAACACCATTGTTTTCTAATTGCCAGATCAGGGCATCTGTATCATCAGAGAAGTTAATACTTTTGGCTATTTCTAGTAGCTCATACCACTTCTCCATCATAGGTGGAGAAAAAGACCTCCTAAATGAAAGTTTGAGGGATTCCCCATCCCAGGTAGATTGGATAGTAACATTTTTCTCCTCACAAATGAGGTAAAGATCCTAGAATTGCACAGCAAGGGGAGCTGTGCCTATCCAAGTATCTTCCCAAAACCTAATCTTAGAACCATTCCCCACTACCCATCTATATCCAAATTTGATGCTCTTGATCACAGAAACCACCCCTTTCCAAAAGATGGAGGCATTGGTGGAGGAGCTCAAGAAGATATTTGGTGAACTGGTGTTATACTTGCTATCAATTACCTTTTTCCACAGTTTCCCTTCCCCCTGAATGTACCTTTTGAGCCAAGAGCCAAGGAGGCACATATTGACTTCTTTAAGGTTTGGGATGCCTAAACCCCCATATTCTTTCTTCATGCAGATCATCCCCCAGTTGGCTAAGTGGAGTTTTCTGTTTCCCTCAAAATCATTCCAGAGGCAGTGAGCCATTTGAGTGTTGATGAGATCCAGAGCCCACTTGGGAAATTTAAAAAAAGAAAGGAGATAGATAGGTATACTAGCTAGGCAAGCTTGAATTAGAATTAGCCTTCCTCTATATGAGAGGAGCTTACCTCTCCAACCAGCAATCCTTTTAAGGATTTTATCAATCAATGGTTGAATATCTTCCCTCCTAAGCTTATCATAGTGGAGAGGCACCCCTAAGTATTTAATAGGAAAATTACCAATATGGCAGCCAAAGATCTCAACAAAATACTAGTTTCATCTTGGGATAGCCCTATTGGTACTAATTCACTTTTACTATAGTTAATCTTCATTCCTGAAACCTTTTCAAAGCAATGGAGAACCAGCTTAAGGTTATTAGCCATCTCCTGATTTGCTTCAGAGAAAAGGATTGTGTCATCTGCATATTTCAGGCAAATGACTCCTCCGGGGCAGATCCTATTCCCAAGCCCACTAATCAAATTGGCAGTGGCAGCTCTGTCTAGCATTTTGGTGAGTGAGTCTACTACCAGGTTGAAAAGAAGGGGAGACAAAGAGTCTCCTTGTCTCAGTCCTTTCCCAGTGGTGAAAAACTCTCCAATAACTCGGTTGAGCTTCACAGCAACTGAACCCCCATGGGTGATTTTATCAATCCAGGAGAGCCAAAGCTCTCCAAACCCTCTAAGCTTAAGCATCTCTGCCAAGAAATCTAAGTTCACCATGTCAAAAGCTTTTTCATAGTCTAGCTTTAACACTAGGCCAGGATTTCTGGAGCTGTTAACAGAATGCAAAATCTCATGTGCAGTAACCACACTCTCTAGGATGTACCTCCCTTTAATGAAGGTTGTTTGATTACTAGCCATGAGCCTGTCCAAAATGCATGGAAGCCTATTGGTAAGGACTTTAGTAAAAAAAATTAAAACTACAATTAAGTAGACTGATTGGCCTGAACTTTTTCATATTGACTGCATCTTTCTCTTTTGGAATGAGAGTGATGATGGCGAAATTCAGTCTATAGATGTCTAATTTTCCTAAGTAGAAATCATGGAACAGAGCCATGAGATCCTTTTTAATCAGATCCCAGAAATTCTGGTAAAACATGAAGGAGAGTCCATCAGGGCCAGGGGCCCCATCAGAGTATGAGCCCATAACAGCTTTCTTGACCTCTTCCTCTGTGAACTCAGCTTGAAGTAAGGAATTTTCATCCTTAGAGACTTTTTCTTCAGGCTTGAAATAATCATCCTTGAGTTTGAAACCTTCTCTACTTTCTTTCTTAAAGAGATCTTTATAGAAGTTGGGAGGCAATGTCCATCATCTCTTTCTCCTCAGAGACTAAGCCATTAGGGCCTTCGAGTTGATGGACCATTGTTTTTCTCCTCCTTTGGTTAGCTACAGCTTGGAAATAGGCTGTATTCCTATCTCCTTCTGTAATGTATCTGTCCCTGGATCTCTGCTTGGCTTTGGTTTCTTCTTTCAGCCAAAGCTTAGAGATTTCTAGGTTAAGGAATTTGAGCCTTTGCTGATCTACCTCGGAAAGTTCAGAAGTCTCAGCTTTGATGTCTAATACATCATATTCATCCATGAGATCTTTTTTAGCTTTTCTGAGCTCAGCTTCAACATTCTTGCTCCATCCCCTAGAGACTTTCCTAAACCTCCTAACCTTGATCTGCCAAATTTCTATGGCAGAAGAACCTTTAGTAGGTTCATTCCAGTTTTTTTCTGCAAGATGTTTAAAATCTTTCCTCATCCACCACCATTTTTCAAATCTGAAAATATTGGTCCTAGGGGTCACCCCTACTCCAGAGTCCCATATGATTGGAGTGTGATCACTCCCAATCCTAGGGAGGGCTTTGGAGGATGAAAGAGGAAAGATACTGTCTAATTCAGTGTTACGGAACAGCCTATCAATGGTAGACATGATGAGGTCTGTCTGATTGTTGGCCCAGGTAAACTTTCTACTAGACATCTTAATTTCCATTAAACTCCAAATATCTATCCAGGCATTAAATTTATCACACCATTTAGGATCTACTCTACCATTAATTTTATCAGCCTGGTATCTAACTAGATTGAAATCTCCCCCTAGGAGAGTAGGAGGATGATCTTCAATAAAGAGTGAATGTAGCTCAGAAATGAAGTCATCCTTACCCTCTTCATAGGGGGAACCATAGACAGTAATGATCCTAATTTTAACTTGCTTAGGTTTGTAAACTAGGAAGGCTGAAACAGAGAAATCTCTAACCTCCCAGTTAATTAATTCAAAAATATTATTATCAAAACCTACTAAAATACCTCCAGCAGTACCTTTAGCAGGGAGGGATCCCCAACTAAAATCTCTATTACTTACTATGGATTTCAGAAAGGAATCAGAAATCACCTCTTTTTGGGTTTCTTGGAAACCAATCAGAGCAGGTGAGAGCTTGTTAACAGTATCAATGATGAGAGGTTTTCTACCAGGGGCTTCTATCCCTCTAACATTCCAGAAGAGACAATTCATTTAATCCTACATTTTTTTGGAGTGCTTGCCCCTTCTATGGTTGCAGACTTTAGTCCACACCTCCTCATCAATGATCATGTCATCTAGAGAAAGATTAGAAATGCAACTACTGTCAACAAATCTATTGTCAACTACATGGCTTGGTGATGTTATCTCAGAAGAGGAACCTAGGGTCTTCTGAGAAATATCATCACCTTCCATGTCAGTTGCATTAGTGACCTTGATAGCTAGGGCTTCAGAAGTGTCAATTCTAACAATATCAGCCACAGTGCTAAATTTATCATCTTGAAGAAGAGAGAAAGAGTTTTTGTTGGCATTACCTTTGCTTTTAGGTTTTTCCAGGTTTTGAACCTCTTTGAGCTTCTGAGCCCTCTCCAAGATGGTTCTCCCCCCTGTATCAACCCTCTCGTTGTGTCTGGTAACAGGAACTGGCCCCCATTTCTTCTTCTCTTTAAGTGGTTGTGTTGTGTGTGGAACAGTCTCTTGGTCTTGGCCTTGGAGCCCCTGAATCCGAGAGATCTTGAAGAGTGTCTTCACCCTCAGCCACTTCACAGTCAGCTATATCATAGTTGTAGTGCCCAGTGTCATCAACCAGGTCCATGTCTCTAAGCAGGTTGAAGCATTGCTCTTCATCTGGCAGATCTTTGGTGATGAGATCAAGAAGCTCCCTCCTAGCTTCATGTAGCGGAGGTGGCACACTGTCCATCAGCCTAGTTGGTGAAGCAAGCATTTCACCCTCCATTCCTGCCCCTGGTAGTCCACATTGATTTCCAATCTGGGTTCCAGCCCCCCTCCCAAGTGAGGTTAGTGAGGAGGTGCTTGTCCTGGATCCTTTATCAGAGCCATTGTCAGAGTTTTTTGAGCTTTGGCTCTTGTCAGTGCCAGGAGCATCTTTGGTAATGTCACTGGTAGGAGCTTGGTTGTTCATCACAGAGCCCCCTGATCAGTGTTTGGTTCTACTTCTATCCCTATCATGTAGAATTCCCCATCCAGGAAGAAGAGCCTTTCTAGAGGGATCCTACTACTGTCTTTACACACCACTTTGATCCTGATTAATTCATAGAAGGTTTTGAACATGTGTTCCCAGTCTACATCAACCAAGAGCCCAAAAACTGAGGCAATCTGGTCTAGGACAGCCCATTCACACCACTTGGGATTCATTCTCAGGAGCCTGACCCACACTTGTTGACCCTCAGCTTGAGCCTCTACCTTTCCATTCCATTCCTCTACATTTACTGTGACCCCTTCTTTTGAGAGCCCAAAGCAGGGGTATCCGGCTACCTGAGTAACAGGAATCTCAGGAGGAAACTTAACTAGGAAGGACCATTCATCTAATGACCTGATCTGCCATGGCCATCTAGTTTTGTAGATGATGGTGAATTCTGCAGCTAATTCCTCTTTTGTAATGCCGCCCTCCTCCACATGGACGATTCCAATGTTTTGCAGTGTCCCAATCCTCTGAGCATTGACATCAGGCAGCTCCACATGGTAGAAGCCAAGTCCAGGGGCCGCGCTTCCAATGTATCTTGCTGTCTGGTGCGGTTGCTTCCTCACTGGGCATACATCAGCAGCATGAGAGATCATCTTGCAGATTTGGCAGGATTTGGGCTTAGCACAGTCCACAGCTGGGTGACCAGGATCTCCACAGTTGAGGCAGATATCAGCAGAGTAAGCTTTCAGATCTGCCGCAACGTCGAGCAGGGTTTTCGCAGATCTCTTTGCTGCTTGCTTGCTCGGACCTCTCTGTTGTTGTTGCTTCTGTTGGCCTGCAGGGTTTGGTTGCCCTTTGGGGAAATTTTGCTGCCCCTGTCCGCCCATCTGCGCTTGCGATTGGGGTTGCTGAACCTGGATTCCTGGCCCTGGCGGTGGAATGCCTCCCAGACCTCCAAATCCAAACCCTTGTTGCTGCGCAGCCCACGGGGGTGGAGGGCCTTGCCATTGTCCTGGTGGTGGAGGATAATTTCCTGGGAGCTGATTCGGGAAACCCCATGGTGGAGTTGGGTATCCGAACGGGAATTTGAATTGGGGGGAAGGATTCTGATCAAGCCCCCAACCAGGGGGCCGTGGATTGCTGCTCCCTCCCCGTCCACTCTTGTTCTTGGATTTCCCCCTCCCTGTCCCTTGCTCAGCCATGGCCTCTCCCTCGAAATTTTGGTCGGTGCCTTCTGCGGATGTGGTGGCTGGCGGCGGGGTGGGAACCCTATAATCTGCCTCCCACAGCTGGCTGAAAAAGGTGATGTCAACCCCGCTGCTACTTTCTGTGATTGTCTTAGGGAAGGCGGAAAGGGGAAATGCGTTTCCCAGACAGCGTATGGAATTCAAATTCCTCCCCCTTTTCCCTCTCTGAGCCCCTCTTCCCTTATCGGTGATCCGAATCCAGTGAGGGGGACGGCAAGGCTGGAAGGATTGATCGCTGTCGCCGCAGATCAGCGAGGGTGACTCGGCAGCTCTCAGGCTTGCCCTGACCACCAGAGAGAAAACGAATCCTCCATCATCCTGCAAATCCAAACTAATCTGCGGCTCCCTCTGAGATTGAAAATCCGTCACTGCTCTTCCACCTGCAGCGCCCTGAACACCCTCCATTTCCTCCTCTGCGCTCGGGAGGTCGAAGCAGCTTCCTCCATCGCCCAATCCAGAATGAGATCTGCAGTAAGAGGTTGACCTCTAGCGAAGAGCCTGTCCCTCTCTCCTTGATCTTCGACATCGCCCTTAGGGCCAAGTAAAGCCGAGCATCTCGAACGCGACCCGCAGAGATCACCGCATCCCTGGCTGCCCTCGTCGCCGCCCTTTGCAGCCTCCGCGTCTCCTCCAGCAGTCTCTCGATCTCTTGATCTGAGGCCACTCTTCCCCCATCTCCTTGATTCGCCATGGGTTGATCTCACGAGCGGGCCGAGTGGAGAGATCTCAGCCCTCTCCGGTGAGATCCGGAGCGCAACCCCAAACCCGGCCTCCGTCAGATCTGACGCCCGGCGCAGAGGAAGTGGCCCCTGCGCGGTTGCCCCCGAGGCGCACCTCTGCGGCGGAGATGTGGTGGCTGCTAGCGACGGAGGGGAGGTGGTGGAGGAGCGCCGGAGCAGTGGGGAGGTGGAGGTGCGGTGGTGAGGTGGGAGAGGCGGGGGCGAGGGCGAGAGCGAGAGCGGAAACTAATTATATGAACCATTCTTTTTCCCCCTATGTTCGCCATGATTCAGGATTTTAGTGAATATGAGAGAGATTTTTTCCTTGTTCGCGAAAGCCATTTTTTGTTTCACGTATATTCTTGTTTCCACAAAAGTTCATATAATTAGTGAACCTTACGTAGGATGTTGGGTAGCGGCACGGAGGGCCTCCGGAGTCGCCCCGTGAGCGACCAGGGAGGCGAGCACAAGTGGCCAATACTCCCTCCTATTTTGTTTATAGTACACCCAATTTTTTTTTTGTTTTTTTGTTTTTAGAGTGCATTCTAAGGGATGTGAGGCATAGCAATTAAAATAAAACGAGGAACCTTCTGTTTTGCCTGAGTGCACTATACACAGAATAGAATAGAGTATGCACCATTAGGCCATAGCATATTGGTGTCCGTCAAACACAAATTCTTCTTTCGGAGAATCATGGGAAAGAAGTATGCCCTCTGGCCAAACATGTTTGTCGCCTACATGAGCATGCAACTTCGCCGAAACGGCATCACATTAGTAATATGTATATATCATTGGATTCTTCCTCAATGATGGTGCCATCCATTTCACTACCCGTCATTAACCTCCAATACCAAGCTGATACTTCCGAGTTCCAGCGAAACTACTGAGGAAGGAGTACGACATGCGAGATAGTGAAAATATTAGTATATATACATCTTGTATGCTTGGCTCACACTTGGAACTTCATACTCAGCAAGCTCGATCGAGCTGCCTGTCCTCACTAGCTGCTGATTATTCCATCTAGCCAAGTTGAATTAACAGCACTATAGCAGAAGGTGCTTGGCTGAACAAGGCAATATGGCACTCGATCCTGCAAACCAGCTGTATAATGAGCTGCCGCAAGCTGCACCGGCACCAGAACCTGCACAGGCGCAAGGGGGCCATACCTCATGGTGGCACAGCGAGAAGATGGTGGGAACCCAGATTGAGCTCCTGTTGTTACTCTACGTCGTCATTGGCGCCATACAGGTGGTGGGCAGCCGGTGCAGGCGCAGCATCAATAGCGCCTATATCAAGTACCCCCTATGGATGGCATACTCTGCCAGCCAACCCTTGGTGGCATATACCCTTGGTGTTATGTACAACTCTCGGTTCAAAGAGACCAAATCTCTGCTCACTACTCTGTTTGTTGTCGTCGCTTTGGGGAGAGTGAACACGATGACAGCTTACAATGTTGATGACAACAAGCGGTATGCTGGCCAGTTCTTCCGGCATGTCCTGTTTGTGGCGAGCTACATGTCCATGGCCATAACCATCCCCCACGCATCCGGGTTTAGAGGTTGGTACACTCTCATTTACTCCCTGATCGGGATATTCATGCTGATCTTCTTTCTGACCATGAATGGTGGAAGGACTTGGGCGAATATCATGGCAAGTAGCTTCTCAGACAAGGGGAGCTTATACCTCCAAACGCATATGAAGACTGAGCACTTGGTAGAACCAACCTATGATCCAGTATCTCTTGAAGGGTACAACTACCTTGTTTTTTCTTTCGATGAGAAGAAAGAGCACCGTAAGGACGAACAGGAGAATGATGATGAAGAAGAAGAGGAGAAGAAGATTGTGGAGGTGAAGGAGAATGATGATGATGATGACGATGATGATGATGAGGAGAAGAAGCTGGTACTGGAGGTGGACGAGAAGAATGAGGAGGAGGAGGAGCAGGAGCATGAAAAGGATGATGAAAATGATAGAGAAAAGGAGGAGGAGATCGTGGAGGTGAAGGAGAAGGACGATGATGACGAGGAGGAGGAGGAGGAGGAGGAGATGAAGGAAATGGATGATTATTATGATGAAGGGGAGGAGAAAAGTGATGATGAGGACGAACCGAACCATATTACAGTTAGTATGGTATTGTGACGCCCCCGATTCAATCGTACACTAATCATGCACGCAAATGTGTACGATCAAGATCAGGGACTCACGGGAAGATATCACAACACAACTCTAAAACATAAATAAGTCATACAAGCATCATAATACAAGCCAGGGGCCTCGAGGGCTCGAATACAAGTGCTCGATCATAGACGAGTCAGCGGAAGCAACAATATCTGAGTACAGACATAAGTTAAACAAGTTTGCCTTAAGAAGGCTAGCACAAACTGGGATACAGATCGAAAGAGGCGCAGGCCTCCTGCCTGGGATCCTCCTAACTACTCCTGGTCGTCGTCAGCGGGCTGCACGTAGTAGTAGGCACCTCCGGTGTAGTAAGGGTCGTCGTCGACGGTGGCGTCTGGCTCCTGGACTCCAGCATCTGGTTGTGACAACCAGAAAGAAAGGAAAGGGGAAAAGGGGGGAGAAAGCAACCGTGAGTACTCATCCAAAGTACTCGCAAGCAAGGAACTACACTACATATGCATGGGTATATGTGTAAGGAGGCCATATCAGTGGACTGAACTGCAGAATGCCAGAATAGAAGGGGGATAGCTAATCCTGTCGAAGACTACGCTTCTGGCAGCCTCCGTCTTGCAGCATGTAGAAGAGAGTAGATTGAAGTCCTCCAAGTAGCATCTCCAAGTAGCATATCCAGGTAGCATCTCCAAGCGCATCTCCAGTCGCATCGCATAGCATAATCCTACCCGGTGATCCTCTCCTCGTCGCCCTGTAGAAAAGCGATCACCGGGTTGTCTGTGGAACTTGGAAGGGTGTGTTTTATTAAGTATCCGGTTCTAGTTGTCATAAGGTCAAGGTACAACTCCAAGTCGTCCTGTTACCGAAGATCACGGCTATTCGAATAGATTTACTTCCCTGCAGGGGTGCACCACATAACCCAACACGCTCGATCCCATTTGGCCGGACACACTTTCCTGGGTCATGCCCGGCCTCGGAAGATCAACACGTCGCAGCCCCACCTAGGCTCAACGGAGAGGCCAGCACGCCGGTCTAAACCTAAGCGCGCAGGGGTCTGGGCCCATCGCCCTGAGCACACCTGCACGTTGCGTACGCGGCCGGTGAGCAGACCTAGCAACCTCCATTACAAAGGAAGTTGCGTTAACGCAGTCCAACCCGGCGCGCGCCGCTCAGTCGCTGACGTCACGAAGTGCTTCGGCTGATACCACGACGTCGGGATACCCATAACTACTCCCGCGTAGATGGTTAGTGCGTATAGGCCAGTAGCCAGACTCAGATCAAATACCAAGATCTCGTTAAGCGTGTTAAGTATCCGCGAATGCCGAACAAGGCCAGGCCCACCTGTCTCCTAGGTGGTCTCAACCTGCCCTGTCGCTCCGCCACAAAGTAACAGTCGGGGGCCGTCGGGAACTCAGGCCCACCACTACCTGGATGGAGCCACCTGCCCCTTCAGCCCCCATCTCCAAACAGTATCACCAGTAATGTAACAGTGTAAAGTATATAGTATATGCCCGTGATCACCTCCCGAAGTGATCACAGCCCAGTAGTATAGCATGGCAGACGGACAAGAGTGTAGGGTCACTGATGGAACACTAGCATCCTATACTAAGCATTTAGGATTGCGGGTAAGGTATCAATGACTGTAGCAGCAATGACAGGCTATGCATCAGAATAGGATTAACGAAAGCAGTAACATGCTACACTACTCTAATGCAAGCAGTATAGAGTAGAATAGGCGATATCTGGTGATCAGGGGGGGGGGGCTTGCCTGGTTGCTCTGACAAGAGAGAGGGGTCGTCAACTCCGTAGTCGAACTGGTCAGCAGCAGCGTCGGTCTCGTAGTCTACCGGAGAGAAGAGGGGGAAGAAATAATGAATACAGAGCAAACAAAGCATCACAAAATATAACAAGGCAATACGCGGTGTTCGGTGTGCCCTAACGCGGTAGTAGGTGATACCGGTGAAGGGGGAAAAACATCCGGGAAAGTATTCCCGGTGTTCCGTGTTTTCGGGCAGAGGAGCCGGAGGGGGAAAGTTGCGAGTTTGGTATGTTAGGGGTGTGTGGCGGACGAACGGGTTGCGTATCCGGATTCGTCCCGTCGTTCTGAGCAACTTTCATGTAGAAAGTATTTTCATCCGAGTTACGGATTAAAAGATATGATTTTCTAAAGATTTAAATCATTTTTTGATATTTAATAAATTATTTAATTTAATCCAAAAATGGATATATGACATCAGCATGATGTCATGCTGACGTCAGCAGTCAACAGGGGTTGACTGGTCAACCTGACGTGTGGGGCCGGTCAGTGCCTAGTCAGCGGTACAGTCAGCGTTGACTGGGTCAAAGTTGACCAGTCAACAGAGCCAATGGGGCCCATCTGTCAGTGTCACATATTTTAACAAGGGGGGTTTAAATTAAGCTAACTAGGGGTGGGGCCTCACTGTCATTGACTATTAACTAACAGGTTTAATTAAACAGAGTTAATGAGGTTAGTTAGTTAACTAGGTTAATTAAACACAATTAATTAAGTTAATTAATGTAATTAATTAATTAATT